ACATTCATTAAGACTGAATTTCCTAATAAAGGAGATGTTGACCGCTGATAAACTCTGTCGTAGGAGCTTATCAAGAATTCTAGTTTGCAAAAAAGAAATATATAGTAATTGTGCAAGTCCTAGGTCGATCTCTTGAGGAGCTAAGATTCCTTGAAAATCAGTTAAAAGAGTGTTCAACAAATTAAGTTGAAGAAAATTATCCTATGCAAATTGTTTGTTCAGAAATTTCTTTGAAGAGTAGAATAAGAAAGAAAATGATCAGAAACAGAATATCAAAAGAGTAGAATTGAAAGCAACAGATTGAGAAAACTTCCTTCGGAGAATTCCCTAGCCTTCATTGTCTATTCATATTTCGTTTGCACTAATTAGAAAGATAAATCTGAATATGCCTTCTCAGATTAAGAACATGAAATGCATTCAGAGCTCCTAGATGAATACTAACAGCATCCATTAGATTTTTAATCAACTCAGTTACAATCTGATTTGAACAAATCAAAAATCATAACCGAATCTACTCCAAAAACAAAGAGCATTAGACACCTAAACACATAGCACATTCAAAATCCTGATTTAACAATCATAAAGAAGTACATAAACTCAGCTAATAAGATCAGAAATCACACGCTCTAACCAGAGACGAGTATTTCCAAATCCAGAAAAAAATAATCTGAACAAACTCCCTTTCAAGCTCCATGACTCAGGCTTCGGTTGAATCTCCAAAGGAAGAAGAGTTTCAGCTTCTCATGGCCACAGGAATGGCTTGGGTAGATCTTTCGATTTGCTTCGCCATTGCAGAACTGATGCGCACAGGGAGGTGTGGCGGAGAAAGTGAGATAATCCGAAGTTGAGAGAGAGAGAAAAGTGCAAGCGAAAGAATGTCTATCCCCCGTGTGGTCCCTCCTTCCTTTAATAATATCTATTCTCCCATCATTCGGTGCCCACCTCATCTTTTTATTTCCGTCCAGTTTTTATTCGGTTAATATCTATACTTCCCAATTTGCCCCTAAAAAAAATGCAATCTGAAACAATATTAAGGCCTTCAAAATATCATTTTTTTTCTATTAATTTCAGTTAAAATTCTTCCAAACTCCCATTTATTTTATACAAGCAAAATGTAATTAAGGAGTTTCATCAAATTCCCCCACACTAAAGCTTTGCACTCCTGGGCAAATCAAACTCAAGTAATAGTTCAGTTTTCAATGATTAATTCAATGACATTCCCAGACATGAGTTCATTAACCAAATTATCCTTTCCTTAATAATCAGCAACCAAGGTGCAACCATTCACAGCGTAATAATCAGTCTAAAGAGCAATGGTTTTACTGGTAATGGGCATCCAGGACTCACAAAGGAAAAGTGTTTCTCTCCTCTCTTTTGTATAAAGGTTATTTTCACTCCTCTCTCACAGTCCAAGTCCTACCATAAGCTTGTCAAAACTCTAATATCTCCACCACTCTGAAACATTAAATCCATGTATCAAGAGGACTTGTGATAGGTTGTAATGTTGGAAAGGCTAAGATGGAAATGGAAGCAATTTGCAAATCTGACCAAATCAAGCTCATATGCATTCTAAGGAAATATAGATCTCAATAAACCAATTTTTCTCTTCATTTTTTTTTTTACAAAGTTACTCCAACTTGGGTATTTACTAACAACACATTACTGCTAGTATTTTTATTGCTTTCTATTTCCAGAATCCTTTTTCTCTTTTTTTTTTCTTTTTCTTTTTCTTTTTTTTTCGTTTTTTTTTCAATTTTTTTTTATTTTGTTTCTTCTCTTTCTTTCTTTGTTTTTTTTTTCTTTCTGTTTTTTTTTTCCAACACGGCATGCCTAAGTATTCTTCAAATGTTCATGATCCCAAGTATAATCCACTAAATTCAAGTTGATACACCTAACTCTTATTTAGACAAAATAAGATGCCATCAACTCAATTTGGTTAGTCATGTAGAAAGAAGGAGAATGAATGGCTCAAAGTGGTTAGCAAGGGATTAAAGTGTTTTTAGTTTGTGTTTGGGTCTGAATGGGTTTAGAAAAAGAATGCCTCTGTCATTTACACTTCATCAAATGTATATATGTGGCCTCAATCAAGAGTTGGGACAAGTTCTAGAGAAACTTAGTACTAGAGAGTGTCACTCAATATTTAAGAAGCAATTATAGGCCCAAAATTCCTTCCATGAAGGTTAATTCCTCTCAGCCCATTAACAGGAGAAAATTGCACAATGGACTAACTTTCATGCTATGAATACTCACTCCTTTTGTACTAATTATACAGAATCAGACAACCAGTCAATTCTTCATATCCAAGACATGCTCACTTTGTAATAATCAATGAGAAAATGAACTCAAATGTAGCCATGTCAAAAATCAGAGTGCCCAAACCAAAATGTGCAGAAATTTAATTCAAGTAATGCCATGATGTCCATGCAATTCACAAACTTTGCTGGTAGAACAGGATTGAATTCGCTATGCAAGACACTCACTAAGCCAATATGAGTGTTTAATAACAGCAATACATGGCAACCATCATTCAAAAAGAATTCACTCAGCTCACAGAAGACAGCAGCTATGAACATATGAAATCTGACAGCACTAATCAACTTCTCCCCCACACTTGGCTATTGTATTGTCCTCAATACAATCAATAAAGCCAAAGCCAAACAAAATCAAGAAAGGAGTTCACACAGATGTAATGATAACTATGTTACCTTCTACTAGTATTGCCTCTCTCCCCCACTTATCTTTGGGGAAAAAAAAAAAACTAAAACACAGAGCACAACAATTATAGAAATAAAGAAAAGTTAATGAGGGAAAGAAGCAACCTGATCAAGGAGGCTCCAAATTCTCATGGTACAACTTCAGCAAATGTCCATTAACTTTCATGCTCCTGCCACTCTCTTCATCCAACAATTCAATCATGCCAAAATTGTGAACTTTAGTAACCTTATAAGGACCATCCCATCTTGTTTTTAATTTCCCTTGCTTAAATTTAAATCTGGCCCTAAACAAGAGAACTTTATCTCCCACATTGAAATGTTTCCTTAGGATACCCCTATCATGAATAGCCTTAGTTTTCTCTTTATATAATCTTGAGTTTTCATAGGCTTCTAATCGAATTTCCTCTAATTCCTGCAGCTGGAGTTGTCTTTCTGTTGCAGCAGATTCAAAGTCCATGTTACAAGCTTTTACTGCCCAAAATGCCCTATGTTCAATCTCAACCGGGAGATGACAAGATTTTCCATAGATAAGCCTATATGGAGACATTCCTATAGGGGTTTTGTATGCTGTCCTATAGGCCCATAAAGCATCATTTAACTTGCTACTCCAATCTTTTCTAGAGGGTTTAACTATCTTTTCCAAAATTTGCTTCACTTCCCTATTAGAAATTTCAGTTTGTCCATTAGATTGGGGATGATAAGGTGTAGACATTTTATGAACAACTCCATATTTTGCAAGTAATCCATCCACAACCTTATTACAGAAATGTGTCCCTCTATCACTTACTATGGCTCTAGGGACTCCAAACCTTGTAAATATATGAGATTTGAGGAATTTAGAAACTGTGGCTGCATCATCTTTCTTAGTTGGAATAGCTTCTACCCACCTTGAGAGGTAATCAACAGCCAATAAGATGTAGATAAAACCCATAGAAGAAGGGAATGGGCCCATGAAGTCAATTCCCCAAACCTCAAATATTTCACAAAATAACATAGGGTGAAGGGGCATTTCATGTCTTTTACTTAAACCACCAAATCTTTGGCATATATCACAAGTTTTACAATACTCATAGCAATCCTTAAAAACAGTAGGCCAATAAAAACCAGCTTCTAAAACCTTTCTGGCTGTTTTCTTACCACTGAAGTGACCACCACAAGATAGTGAGTGACATGCTGATATGATACCTTCAAACTCCTCATCTGGAACGCACCTCCTGATAATCTGATCATTACATAATCTCCACAATAAAGGAGGATCCCACACATAATATTTAGCTTCGCTTTTAATTTTCTGTACCTGAAAACGAGACAAAGAAGATGGGATCAGTCCAGTAGCTAGGTAATTAACCATGGTTGCATACCATGGTTCCTTAACTGCTAAAGCAAGCAAAACAGCATCTGGAAAATCATCACAGGTTATGTCAGGAGCATAAACTCCTTGAGTTCCAGGTGGTAAACGACTTAAATGGTCAGCAACAGTATTTTCTGCTCCACTTCTATCTCTAATGTCAACATCAAACTCTTGCAATAGAAGCATCCACCTTAACAACCTTGGTTTTGATTGTGGTTTCTTAAACAAAAATTTAATAGCAGAATGATCAGTATATATAACCACCTTAGAATTAATAAGATAAGCTCTAAACTTGTCCAAAGCAAACACAATAGCAAAAAGCTCTTTTTCGGTTGTTGTATAATTCATTTGAGCATTATCTAAAGTTTTTGAAGCATATGAAATTACTTTGGACAGTTTATCAATCTTTTGACTTAACATGGCACCTACTGCAGCATGAGAGGCATCACAAGACAACTCAAATGGAAAGTCCCAATTTGGTGCAGTGAGTATGGGTGGTGAAACAAGCATATTCTTCAGATTATCAAATGCAAATTTACATTCCTCATCAAAATTGAAATCAGCATCTTTTTGCAAAAGTTTGGATAGTGGAGAGGCAATTTTACTAAAGTCTTTCACAAATCTTCTATAAAAACCACAGTGACCAAGAAAAGACCTAAGCTCTTTCAAGGTTTTAGGATATGGTAAAGATGATATAACTTCTATTTTTGCTTTATCTACTTCTATACCATTCCTAGAAACAAGATGCCCTAACACTATGCCTTGTTCAACCATAAAATGGCACTTTTCAAAATTTAAGATGAGGTTCTTCTCTATGCATCTAGCTAAAATCTTATCCAGATTTTCTAAACAAGAATTAAAGTCATCACCATACACAGTGAAGTCATCCATGAAAACTTCCATGGATGACCCCAAAAACTCATGAAATATGGCCATCATAGCCCTTTGAAATGTTCCCGGAGCATTGCATAGCCCAAAGGGCATCTTCGATAGGCAAAGGTCCCATAAGGACAAGTAAAAGTTGTCTTGTCTTGATCTTCAGGTGCTATAGGAATCTGGAAATAACCTGAAAATCCATCAAGAAAACAATAGTTAGTTTTTCCAGCTAGCTTTTCAAGCATTTGGTCAATAAAAGGTAAAGGAAAGTGATCTTTTCTTGTTGCATCATTTAATTTTCTGTAGTCAATACATACCCTCCATGAATTTTGCACCCTAGTGGGTATTAATTCATTTTTCTCATTTTTTATTACAGTTATGCCACTTTTTTTGGGTACTACATGCACTGGACTAACCCATTCACTATCTGAAATAGGGTATATTATTCCTGCACTAAGTAGCTTAGTCACTTCTTTTTTGACCACTTCAAGAATTAAGGGGTTTAATCTTCTTTGTGGCTGTCTTATAGGCTTAGCACCTTCTGTTAATAAGATTCTATGGGTACAAATGGAAGCATTTAAACCTGGAATATCAGCTAAAGACCAGCCTATAGCTCTCATATTTTTTTTCAGAACTGTGACTAATTGTTGCTCTTCAAATTCAGATAGTGAATTAGCTACTATAACAGGCAATTTATTGTTTTCAGCCAGAAACACATATTTCAGATTAGAAGGTAAAGGTTTAAGATCCAAATCTGGTGGTTTGATGACTGATGGAATAAGTTCTTGCGGTTCCAAAGCTCCTACCCAAGTCTTCATCTGTTCTGGAAACTTTTTCACCCTGTTCAGATCAGAAACAGCAAGTGAGTGATCTAGAGAAGAATCAAACTCAAATGAATGTAACCAATTTAAAACATTCATGTCCTGTTTAGTTTTCTTATTGATGCCTCTGCTACCGATTTGCTTCTTAGAATAAACTTCATTAGAGGCAAACTCCAATTGCTCTTTAAACTGTTCTGGACCTAAAACAAATTCAGAAAGTAAATCATAAAAGTGTTTAATAGTTTGAAATGAACTTTCAGAATTTAAATCAAGCATTAAATCAGATTGGGTTTTCTCTAAACCAATGCTAGAGGTAGCTGCAATGTAGACTTGTCATTAACATCATCTCTTGTTGAAACAATTGCTTGCTTATCCTTATCCAAATCATCCATGACAGCATCTTTTGAAACTTCATCACAAGAGGCTTTAAAGTCTTTCAACTCATTCTTTGCAATAGATTCAGCCTCTGCAAACTCAGCTAAAATTTGTCTTCCACAATCATCACTTGAAAGTAAAGAGTTAGTGGCACTAATAAAAGAAGTAGTATCAAAAGAAAAAGACTGCAAGATGGAAAGTGAGCTATCAACCGAGAGTTGGCTAATACTACACACGTCATCATTGCTGTCCAAAAAATAATCAGAGAAGAAGAAGGAATCAATCTCAGTTGTAGTCAATTCAGGTTCTACTATTTCCAAATTATCTTCATCACACAATGTCAATGCATGTTCAGCAGCAGATTCATCAATGAAAACATCAATAACCCTTAGATCAAGAAGAGAATAATCCTCAAAAGGGTGTCTCATAGCTTCATAGACATTAAATTTGATTACATGATCACCTACTTCCATTGTAATATACCCATCCTTCATGCTAATGACTGTATTTGCTGTTCGAAGAAATGGCCTTCCCAAGATTAAAGGTCCTTCAAAGACTGACTCACGTGACATGTCAAGGACATAAAAATCTACTGGAAAAACCAAATCTTTTACCTTTACTAATATGTCTTCTAACAGTCCAAAAGGTTTTCTAGTGGTTCTGTCTGCTAACTGAACAATCATGCTAGTATTTTTTATAGAATCAATGCCTAAAGATGTGTAGATAGACATAGGCATTACATTGATTGCTGCCCCTAAATCTAAAAGGGCACTAGCAATGTTCAATTTACCTATGGTACAAGGAATACTAAATGCTCCAGGATCAGCACATTTTACAGGAATTTGTGGCTTGAATAAAGCTGAAACACTAGAACCAATCTGCACCATCTCATTAGGTTTACATTTTCTTTTATTAGTGCACAAATCCTTCAAGAATCTCATGTATTTAGGCATGCTTTTCAAGAAATCCAGCAATGGAACATTGACTTCTAGCTTGCTAAACAAATTCAAAGCTTCTTTTTCTAATTTTTCATTTGAAATTTTTTTATTAAGCAGAAAGGAATTAGGAAATGGAAGTTCTGAAATTCTTACCTCTTTTTCTGGATTTTGGACAGCTTCAGATGCAGTAGAGTTTAATTGCTCCTTATTTTTCCTCTTCAGTTGCTGCTCCTTTTCTTCTGTGACAGTTCCCTCATCCTTACTGAAGTGGTGATGTGTGCAAGTTTGATGTTCAGAATCTTCAACTTCATCCATATCAGATTGATTTATCATCTTTCTTGCCCTTGATCGTAATTGATTCTCCTTCCCACTTTCAGACTTTAATAAATGTCCTTGAGCACTATTCTCTTTCATACACCTTCTTCACAATCACTCTCTCCTTCATCAAAATGGGCAGCAACTTGAGAATTATAATCCTCCTTGTCATCAGTGGCAAATTTCACTTGCTTTCCACTTCTCAATGTTATAGCATTTAAGGACTTTGGATTGATTACAGTATTAGATGGCAGTGCACCTCCAATTTTTGCTTGAACTTCATTGAGTGTATTAGCTATTTGTGTAACAAAAGTATTCAGATTTGATGACTTTGTCTCCCACTGCTCAAACTTATTTCCAAGGCAGCAAACCTAGAATTACTCACTGCATTTGTACAATCCAATTTAGACCCCAATTCTTCCATAGTTGACAATATCTTGGTCAAATTCTCATCATTCTTTGATGAAGAAGCTCCTTGTAGAGGTACCATAGCCCTTTGATTTTCTGCAGAATTTCTACTCTCTTGAAACCTATTCAGCCCTTGAGATGCCCTTTCCCCTCCTTCTCTCCATCTCAAATTTGGATGATCTCTCCATCCTTCATTGTATGTATTGGAAAAGGGATTTCTTTGTTGAAACTGATTTGGTCTATTTGGATACATGGCTGCTAGGTCTTCATAGTGTGCAGGACAGGTCTCACTAGTATGCATAGGTGATGCACAGTGAGTACAAGAAGGTCCCACTAGAGCTTGGGAAGTATTTACAGCATTACAAGCCTTCGGTTGCCTTTCATTTTCCAGCCTTTCTAGCCTTTTATCCATTTTTGACAACAGCTGAACCAACATATCTTGAGAGTTATCTGTGGTAACTTCACTAACACCTATAGCATCTCTTGTGTAAAATTGTTGATTGCTGTTAGCCATAGTCTCCAATAATTCCCAGGCCTTATTAGGTGTAAGAGCAAAAATAGAGCCATTTGCAGCAGCATCTATACTCATCTTATAAGAGGGCAGTAAGCCTTCATAGAAATATTGCACAAGGTTTGACTTACTACATTGATGATTTGGACAGCGATTAATAAGAGTCAAATACCTTGTCCAATAGTCATACAAGGATTCTTGGTCTCTTTGTGAAATCCCATAAATGGCCTTTCTTAGCTTGAGATACGTGAGGCTGGAAAATATTTGTCTAAGAAAGTTTTCTGCAATTGTTCCCATGTCAGTGTAGCATAATGTTGAGGTAGGGTATGAAGCCATTCCTTAGCTCCTCCCTCTAGTGAGAAATGAAAAACCTTCATTAGCACATCTTCCAGCTTAGCTTCAGGAGGTTTCATGGCTGAACACACTGAATATAAAGTATCCAAATGCTGATAAGCATCATTCCCAGCCAGGCCATAAAACCTTGGAAGAGCACTAATCAATGATCCCTTGATTTCAAAATTTGCAGCATTGGCGTAGAAACCTTTAGGAGTACAATGGGCAGCAGTATTGTTTATGTCTCTGATGCTTCTAGTATCATCCTCATTTGCATTGTTTCTTTGAGCCATAATGAAATGGTTGTCTATAAATTCACCTGCAGCAGAATCTGAGTCAGAAAAATTATTAGAATCACTTGATTGGCTAGTGGGTGTTATGTGAGATGTTTCCTCCCTATTTTCCAAACCTACAGTTCTAACGTGTTTGCTCTTTTTCAATTCCCGTAAAGTCTTATTAAGATCTGGATCTAAAGGTAAAAGTTCCCTATTTCTGGTCATAAACTTCTCTCCTTTTTTTTTTTTCGAAAATAGCAGCAATAAAACTAAATGATAGCAGAATCAAAATCTCCAAAATAATGCAACTCTAAGCAGAATCACAGCAAAACAGAAACCAGAAATTTTTTTTTTTAATAACAGATTGAAGAGCAAAAATTCTATAAAAAAAAAAAAAAATTCAAGGCAGATTACAAAACACTCTAGCAACTGAGAACCAAGGAGACAAAGCTCCCCGGCAACGGCGCCAATTGATAGACTCTGTCGTAGGAGCTTATCAAAAATTCTAGTTTGCAAAAAAAATATGTAGTAATTGTGCAAGTCCTAGGTCGATCTCTTGAGGAGCTAAGATTCCTTGAAAATCAGTTAAAAGAGTGTTCAACAAATTAAGTTGAAGAAAATTATCCTATGCAAATTGTTTGTTCAGAAATTTCTTTGAAGAGTAGAATAAGAAAGAAAATGATCAGAAGCAGAATATCAAAAGAGTAGAATTGAAATCAACAGATTGAGAAAACTTCCTTCGGAGAATTCCCTAGCCTTCATTGTCTATTCATATTTCGTTTGCACTAATTAGAAAGATAAATCTGAATATGCCTTCTCAGATTAAGAACATGAAATGCATTCAGAGCTCCTAGATGAATACTAACAGCATCCATTAGATTTTTAATCAACTCAGTTACAATCTGATTTGAACAAATCAAAAATCATAACCGAATCTACTCCAAAAACAAAGAGCATTAGACACCTAAACACATAGCACATTCAAAATCCTGATTTAACAATCATAAAGAAGTACATAAACTCAGCTAATAAGATCAGAAATCACACGCTCTAACCAGAGACGAGTATTTCCAAATCCAGAAAAAAATAATCTGAACAAACTCCCTTTCAAGCTCCATGACTCAGGCTTCGGTTGAATCTCCAAAGGAAGAAGAGTTTCAGCTTCTCATGGCCACAGGAATGGCTTGGGTAGATCTTTCGATTTGCTTCGCCATTGCAGAACTGATGCGCACAGGGAGGTGTGGCGGAGAAAGTGAGATAATCCGAAGTTGAGAGAGAGAGAAAAGTGCAAGCGAAAGAATGTCTATCCCCCGTGTGGTCCCTCCTTCCTTTAATAATATCTATTCTCCCATCATTCGGTGCCCACCTCATCTTTTTATTTCCGTCCAGTTTTTATTCGGTTAATATCTATACTTCCCAATTTGCCCCTAAAAAAAATGCAATCTGAAACAATATTAAGGCCTTCAAAATATCATTTTTTCTATTAATTTCAGTTAAAATTCTTCCAAACTCCCATTTATTTTATACAAGCAAAATGTAATTAAGGAGTTTCATCAACCGCACTATTTCTCTTTATGAGACACAGGAACAAGTCAGTTCAGAACAAATTGACAAACCAGAATCGTCTAGGTGTGTCAATCTGAGTGGGAGCTAAGAAAGGTCAACACCAAGACCTGAATAAAGAAAGAAAGATAAGCAAATAGCTCCTATCAGAAGGAGTAACAGGGAAAGTGTTCCCAAAAGACGCTTTCAAATAGAAGGCGAATCTCTCTTAGTTACTCCAGAAGGGGATGATGAGCCTCGTTCTGTATGAGAGGCCTTGTCAAGTCCTGCGAAAGATGAATGGATGAAAGCTATGGAAGAAGAAATGGACTCAATGAAAAAGAACCAAGTTTGGGTATTAGTTGATCTTCCAAAAGGGCGTAAAGCCATTGGGAACAAGTG